AAAAACGAAATTTCGGAAATTTAGTCAAGAATTACCACTTTCCAATCGATAGACAAGTTCTATATTAAGTTTATGGTCATAAGTTATAGTAAACCGCTCGACAACCAGACAACGTACCTTGACGCTCACTGCCACGGCATTCGACACCGCGAACATGTCCATTTGTTCCTGCTCTGGCGACCTCAACTTCAGGCAGAACGTTTCGCCAACGAACTCGCTCTTTGATTCCGATGTGACACAGTACTTGAGGGTCTCTTCCTCCTTCTGTACCAGGGCCTGGTCGTAGCCGCTTTCCTCGAACGGTTTGATGTACTCAAGCAGCGCTGTGCGCTCCGACAGGGTGAAGTCCCAAAAGATGATCACTCCCTCGCCGAACACGAACGCTCTTCGCAAATCTTCGGTGCCAAACTTAATCAACGGTTTAACGGTGATCACATTCGACAACTCCTTCGACACCAACGAAACATCGAATTGCTCATCGTCCTTCAACTTCTTTACTAATCTGTTCAACTGATACTCTTCGCACGTAGCATACCCCCAGATATTCCAGTCGAACTTGGTCGCTTCGTCGGTCACAACCCTAGACCTTTTTGGAGGCCTTGCTTTCGAAGAGAATTTCAAATCACTTTTACCAGAAAATTCCTTTCGAGCTACACTACCGCTCTGCCGTCGAACTAAGTATAAGCATTGTCTAAACAAAATTTTAGCCATGTTCGCCCAAACTGGTGACTGGGAGAGCATCTCGCTCAAAGAACATTTTGTAGCAGATCTGCAGGTATGTCGCAGTGAAATCGCGCCTCCCTGAAACTTTATGCAGTGTAACGAAACCAAGCTTCTGAATGATGCCAAACACATCCTAATACTTCAGCTGAGTAAACAATCACATCAAATAAAATTATACTATTATTTTAGAACAATATTATATAGCTTCAAATTTTTTAGTCCCTAAAATCCAATTTTCAGTTCAAGTCTTGAAAAATAATAGATGGCCCAAAAATAAGACGTGATGCAGTTACGAAGGGCTGGCACGACAGAAAGTTTCATATCCAGCTTTAATTTACAGCGCCACAACACAATTTTTGAAGTAACAACGAATCCCTTACAGAAGGAAAAGGCTCGAGTGAGATGACGGCGTGCAGAATCTGCTGAACGAAGAGACGAATTATCGACAAAAAACGGAATACCGCAACCGACAATTTAATTCAATCATTAAACAACTTTAAGAATCAAGAGAAACTGAATTTGTTTGATGCTTCTAATCGTAGTGTGATGTGCTAACGTTGTTCGCACAAAAGAGTCTGACACCTTTCCGACGCTGCCTTGATTTGTACCCCAGTCAAGAGCAAATCAGTTTCATGGCGAATGAAAGCATTCTATAAACGATGCAGTACGAGTGTTTGATAAAGGTAAAGTAATTGAAATACCAGTTTAGCTGATAGCACTTTTTGATGAATAAAGACTCATCAAACGTCGTGTAAAATGTTTGGCCAAGCGGCGCGAGGAACCACGACATTCATCTTCTCGAGCTTCTTAAACTCAGACCGCAATATAACCATTATAATTTAAGGAAAAGAGAGATTTTTTATTATTACATTTATAATAAGCGGTGGCTGCGGATTCATACTCAATTGATAATCACCGCCTGCATTTAAGATGCGTCAAAAGTTCCTTCATTGAGTTTCAAACCTGAGACAAAAATTCATCGAAGGACTATACTCTACATTTACGAAGAAACGGTTAGAAGTCCTCTAATGCGTCTAACCGTCTTTTTCTTTATCTAACATTATATGAGATAGTTCATGTCATTTCGAAGACGATTTTTGATGCAATGTTTTGTGACCCAACGTAAACAAGACATCGGAAAGTTTCATTAATACTCGGCGTGTTTCGGTGCCCACACCAAAAACATCACCAGCAACGGCCGAAAATGATACAGTAACTCAAATGACAACGATTAAAAATCGATATAAAGTAAACATAAATTTGAATGGAAAAAATCAAAAAGATTCCCCCACTGCCAGTTCAAAGCAGGGATGAGAAAGGAGGAGGGTTGGACACCGTGCCAAGTCTCGGTAAAATTTAGCCACCTGCTACACATGGCACTGACGCGACTGAAAATCATATCGGCTCGGTCTTCGCTCGGGCTACTAAGGGCAGCGGAGTCTGCTGGGGGAATGATGCAGACAGCCAAAAGTCAACGATCAGAACCAGCTCATTGCTCTCTGCCAGCCGGGGGCGTAGCAGCACAACGACGGCTGACGAAGACCGACGAAACGACGACGAAGCTACCAATCAGCAAAGGAGTCCCTACCCGTTTTAAACCGAGGACGAAGACAGCGCTATGCCATTATAGCACATTAGAAAAAAGCCCACGAGAACGACATCACCAAGCGGAACTAAACGTCGGAAATTGGAGAATATCCTCACTCAGAGGAAATGAACAAGTGTCAGATAATGAGGCCATAAAGTACCAACTCGATTTTTGTTGGACTCTCGTCAACGAAACGCAAGAGATCTGGACTCATAAACCGCAATGGATAGAAGCCATCTTACTCAGGCGTCGATACCACGACTCGCGCTCAGGCCCATGCTGGCGTTCTGATAGAGCCCAAACTTACCGATACTATTATTCATTGGAAGCCTCTCAGCGGAAGGGCGGAAATCCTCCGACAGAAACTACAACAGGCTAAATCGATGACATTGGTACCGGCCTATGCACCCAATCTGGAGGGAGAATATGAGATATTCCTTGAGGAACAGCAGTGTGCGCTGTCCGAAGTGCCGAAGAGAGAGTCCCTCATACTGATGAGCGATTTTAATGTGCATGTCGGAGTAGACGCTGCAAAGTGGAACGGCGTTATCGGAAAAAAGTACCCTAGCGAACTGAACAATAGCGGCATGAAGTTGTTGCGGCTTTGTGCAAACAACGGATTGTCCATTATGAACACCTTCTTCGAGTATCGAAAAGTGCATCAGTACCCCTGCTACCGGGAAGCTTGTGCACAGAAGTCGATGATCGATTTGATAATCGTATCGTCTGACCTAAGACG